AAGGGGGGAATGTTTTACCATGTTTTATGTAAATACACAAATGGGAATGTTCGATAGAATAATGAAATGAAAGATGGGCAGAGAATATAAGAGAATAGTTGCTGCAAAAATTAAAAGATAGCAAATAAGTGTGTATGCTTAGAAAAAGTTGCAAAAAATATTAGCAAAGCAAACATAGACAGGTATTCTGCCCCACAGCAAGAGTTCTAAAGGTGTTTATTCAATCCCCTCAAACAGGTCCTTGGAAAGCACCCCTGTTGCGTAGGTCCATATTCCAAGATCAGTGCAGCAAGAGTAACTGAGTTCAATGGGCACACACAAAGTCCAGGAAAGCAGTCCAAAAGTCAAATAGGCCAGGATACATGGCATGACCACACAAGACACAGAACGGGGCATATTGTTCCAGCAACACTTAAGTCCTCAGGCAGGGTTAAGTAGGCAATGCCAGTGCAACTCTTCATAAAAGACAAGGTTGCCTCCTGACTGGCATTGTGTTTGTCTCCTTTCTTCTCTACATGACCTTGGATCAGAAGGAGCTGTGAAATCCACTCCTCCTCATTGCTAATGGGCAGCAGCTGCTCCCAGTCCTTGCCAGGAGTGTCCTGGCCAACTTGTTCCAGCTCATTTCCCTCAGGCTGTCTCTGGTCCAATTGACCCAGCTGATTTGCTGAGTCATGATCCTGACCAACACTCAGCTTCACTCTTTTTCTGTAGACTCAAACTCACTCTCCTCCATCTCATATCTGGAGAGGGGTCCAGGGGCGAATCCATGACACTAGGTCTTAACCTGGGCCTTTCTTCTCATAGCACCCACCCTATGAAACATTCTCCTTCCAGAGATTAGGATGACCCTGACTCTGCTGGCCTTTCTCAAGGTCTAGTGGAGCTTGTATCAAGAGTCCATTTCCTAGTTGTTCAAGTGGCTGTTGACTGATACATGACGGAAATTAGAAATAGAATGCTCAACGAATGGTTCAACATTAAACAGGAAGCAAACATTGGGGCATTTGTGTAATATTTAGCATATTCTGCACTAAAACAATAACTTTCCCCTACAGAAAGCGGTCACATGTCTATGCGACAGCAGCAGCTTGTAGCATGCATGCAATAGGTCTCCAAGTTTTAGTCACTGGAATTTATTACTTTATTCTTTCATCAAATTTATATAACTGACTGTCTCACCAGAAAAAAAAATGACACTAGACACTGTAGAATGAAGCTATAAAAAGTAACCAAATTTAGAGAATGAAAAATTATGATTAAAAGGCAAAGTCAGGGTAGCAAATATTAAATGTAGTGGAGCCAACTCAGCAGTCCTTTGAGGGCCCCGGGACTGGTTTGGAGGACCTTTCAAAAAATTAACAGTGAAGGAGCCACCCTCACCTAAAATAATGTTTCATAAGCGAGTGCCATGGCAGAATAAGACCCATCTGAGGGATCTTATCAAATGTAGCACCTTGGCAGACAGGATTTATAACATACTTGGTCAGCGTATTGAGAAAAATAAGCAATTGTAGTATTGCTACTACTCCATATAGCCAGTTTAAACTCAACCAATATATATATTTGTACCTTTGAGCCAATGTTGATGCTGGTAACTCTGAAAAATAAGCTGTGGGCATTTTTTTCTCATGGTTCTCTGATGGCTAATCGCTGAAGTCCAGTGTGTAAAAAAAAAGGGCGAGGGATAAAAGGTAACCAGATGCTTATTTTTTTAGAGGACTGTCTCTCTAGACATCAACCCGCCCTACCCATCCAGACTTTGATGGTGTAGCCATTTTAATTCACAGGCTTCATTAATTTCAGTCCCTGGAGTGAGATGGCAATGGGGAAAAGAGGCCAACAGAACAGAGTGTAACCTCATCTATTTTCTGCTATAAGAATAAATGGAATAGCTAGAATAAGATGGAATAAGATCACATTCTGTACTTACTGGGTAAATAGGGAAAACATTCTGCTCACTTACTGAACCACAGAGCAATTTCTCTCCTAGTACATGCCAGCCTTACAAAGTAGATCAGTTAGGAAACATGATCAGATTAGCTAATTCTGCTTTGTTGTAAAGCTATATTAACAGAATTTTGCAAGTCTGAAAGTATAGAGACCAGGGCGAGTTTCTTCTGAGCCTCTTCTCCACTCACTATCCAACAATGGACTGTGCTATCTCTTATCTTACTGTTCCCTTGGCAGTTTCTCTTTGCCCAGACTCCTAAGGTCTTTCATCAGACCACCACAGTAAATAAATGCAGCCATTATTGTTTTGTAAAACATGGGTAATCCCAAAAAAACCCAAAGCCTGGCCTGGCTGTTCATTGAATATTTGTAATTAAATTGTGCTTAGCATAGGGTGCAGATTAGCTCATCAGTTTGGCAAGCTGCTAAGAATGAATCAGAAACAACAACTATTGTTTTAATTATTGTACCATCCATTTTACTCAGAAACAAATGGTTTCCATTGCTATAAATTTATTAAGAATTATTGCAATATATTACTGATTTTGTCTGGTTACAATTTAGAACATTTCACAAAAGTTTAAAAATCTAAACAATTCTGCATTACAGTAAGTAATTGTATTACATTTTCTCTTGGTAGCTTTGGCTCTGAAGGGAATTGCCTATGAACAAGTATCCATAAATCTTATAAAGGATGGAGGGCAGCAGGTAAGGAAATATCTATTATTATGTTCATTGACCAAAGCAAAACAATATATAACAAAATCTGGAACAAATACCATAAGGACAGCCTTAGCTGTAAATGGTGATCAGACAAAATATTATAAAAACAGTAAAAACAAGATACAATTAATATGAAAACTATGTAAATATAATAATATAAAAATGAAGTTAAAGCTATGGTAATTAGAGTGATCAAAAATATGGAATATTAAAAAACACCTGTAACTTAGTGCATTATATGTTATAAAATTACTGTAAAACAAAAAAGTTTTTCGCCCTTGCCAGGCTTCAGGAACAGAGGCTGGGGAGGGCAAAAAGGGGCCCCAACGAGCCAACCGGAAGTTCGGGAACGAATTCTCAATTGGCCAATTGGGCCTGGTTTTTATCCTCCCCAGCCTCCAAAGGCTTTTCTGAAGCCTGGGGAGGGCAAAAATGGCTTTCCCCGGCTCTCTGCAAGGATCAAATCAGCTCGCCGGTGCACACATGTGCACCGGAGCTGATGGCTGGCATGCCAGCAAATATGGCTTCGTGTGCCACTTGTGGCATGCGTGCCATAGGTTCGCCATCACAGTTCTATGATAACAAAAAATCAGAAACATGGTAACACCGAGCCGAGGTGGCGCAGTGGTTAGGGTGCAGTACTGGAGGCCACTTCAGCTGACTGTGATCTGCAGTTCAGCGGTTCAAATCTCACCAGCTCAAGGTCGACTCAGCCTTCCATCCTTCCGAGGTGGGTGAAATGAGGACCCAGACTGTGGGGGCAAGTTGCCGACTCAATTTGCTAAAAAAACATTTGTAAACCGCTTAGAGAGGGCTGTAAGCCCTATGAAGTGGTATATAAGTTTAATTAATAAATAAATAAAATAAATAAAAATAAAATAAC